TTTCACATTAATAATATATACCAATTATATTTTGTAAATTATTGAAATGAAACTTTGAATTTTGACTGAATAAAAGTATTAAAAACACTTGCACTATTACATTTATGATTTAACCTTAAAGCAATCAATTGATGTGGGAGCTTTTTAAAGAAAGACCAAGACTTGCAAATCAAATTGAATATAGATAAAGATCAAGACTTGAAATAGTTAAATTTGGACAGTTGGAAAGTTAGTGGTGGAGTAATTAAAAAGATATCAATGGATTCATTAAAAATAAAGTGAGACCAGATTCATTTTTTAAAAGTTAATCAGATAAAGATCAGCAAAAAACAATGATTTAATTTTAAAAATAGAAAATTTTAATTAATATAAGCGAAATTTAACAAACAAAGTGCACAATAGACCAAAAGAAAAATAGACAGCATTGAACTTGAAATCGAAAGTTGGCTAAGCAGCGGTTTTACTTGCAGAATGTTGCAGTCTTTCAGTTGTGGAACTTTAACTACTACACTGAACATTATCTCATTCTCTTGTTGCTGCTTCACATTAGAGAAAATGGAATAAATATTTCAGACTTCAGTTACCTTTTGTTCTGTTTAACTTTTTCATTTTTCCTATCTCTGTTCCATTTGTTTATGATGTGTCCTATCTTGATTTGAGATGACCAAGAATTTAAAGCATGAGATTAGTGCTGGAATCAGAGACCAAAGAGTTCAACAAGTACATCTCTCTACCAATTACATATTCATGTGTATCCAATCTAGCTATAGGTTGTTGTTAGTGTTGAGATCTAATAAATCTATTAGGAATATGGATATGGTTAAAAACTACTTTTTATAAATTTCGTGTAAATGTCTTTCTATGAACTTGCTTAACGAAAACAAATTAAGTTTGATTTCTTAATAGTCTAGAAAAAAAACTGAAAAAAAAGAGTGTAAAGGAATTTTTACTTGTTAATGAACAACTTGCAAATGAATGGATTAATTAATGGATCAGTGCGGGAGTAGTTAAAAAGAAAATAAAATAACAAAGACCAAAGACCAAGACTTGCAAAGTTCCAAGCTGCATATTATTCTTTCAATATATATCACACTTTGCTTATTGCTTTCTAAAATCAAATAATTAGAGACCAAGACTTTAACGTTTGTAGGTGGAAATAGTTTAAATAATTAGAGAAAATTTAATCTTATTGCTTGTCACTTTAGTCTAAATTTTGTATAATTTCATTTATTAAAGTTAATTATGTCTTTAATTTTTAAAATTAAATAAATTTAGTGTTTCGTCAAAATTTCTTATTCAAATCACTCAATTTTTATTCTCTACTTTAAATGCTCACAAATTGAATTTGGAATACAAGGTTGCAGAACAATTTCGTATTCAGAGGCTCAGTGTTTACACACTTCATGTCATCAATGGGATGTGAAAGGATAATTCAATTGGAACTCTTATCTGAGGAAGATGCATGGACCTTGTTCAAAAAGCATGCTAATATGAGTGATATTTCCTCTAAACGTTTGTTGGATAAGGGACGTGATATTACCAAAGAATGCAAAGGGTTACCCGTTGCAATAGCAGCATTGCTAGCAGTTTAAAAGGTGAACAAAGTTTGGAAGAGTGGAAATCAACTTTAAAATATTTGCAGAAGTCTGTGCCAATGCATGGTGTTGATGAAAATTTGGTTGAAGTTTATAAATTTGAGGTATAGTTATGTTAATTTGAAGAATGAAGAAGCCAAGAAACTATTCCTCTTATGTTTGACAAAATTGACTTGTAAAGACAGAAACAGTTTAAAGAAAGCACTAATAATTAAATAATTAAATATGTACCAAAAATGCACAACAGCGTGAACCCAATGGCCATTACAAAAGAAAAGAAAAGCATGTGCCCACAACAAATTCCACACTGATAAGTGCATAATTCAAATATACTAGTATTATATAAAAAGTGAGGCCACACCTTTAATGTTTTAAGAGGTGAATAGTGGATCAAAATGTTTGAGCAAAGTGATCAAAATTGATGCTCAAAGTCCCCAAAATGGGGTAAGAAGAATTATATAGTGGCCTTTTGTTCTGCTAATTTCCATTTTCCATCATAGATATACCTATATGCAATGCCCATACTTATATCATCTTTATGTTTGTTCTCAGAATTTGATTATATGCAGCGGAAAAAGAAGATGGCTTTGTTTCACGCAGAAGAGAAGCAATGAAAACGCATATGAAACAAATGACTGCACAATTTATTTGCTTTCCTTGTTTTCTGAATCCACATACTAAGGTTCTGCTTGCTACTTTGGCTTGTGATTTTTCATCATCTTCTGTTCCAAATTTATATGGCTCAAAAAAGAATTAATTGATTATTGCTTGTTCATTATTGATCATATGCATGATCATTTGAGTTCAGATGCAAGAAAGAAAAGGTGAATGTATAATATGAAGGAAGATAAATGTGTTGAGATGCAAGGAGATGAAGGACAGTGCATAATATGAAACAGGGGAAATACCATACTTCAAACCTTTGGCAACGATTCTTGCTGATATTTTCTTGACTATATAAGTGCATAATTCAAATATCAAGGTAAGTGTATTTCTAGAATACAAACCCTTTGCTCTGTGATTGTGATTGATGCTTGTTTGTGATTCAATTGCATTATCTACTTTATTTTCTGGTTCTCAGATGAATAATAACTAAGTATAAGATGTATTTCTTATAACTTCAACATGATTCAAATAAATTGATTACTAGATAACTTGGAAATTATTCAGCTTAAATTTTCACTTGGCCAAATTTATTATGTGAGTGAGTTGTAATATGTTGTCTACTATAATAATTATGAGACAAAGATTCAAACTTTGTTTGTGTCTTGTAAAATATTCATGCCTTTTCTTTTATTTCTCTTCTATTGACAGAGTCTTTATCGTTAAATTCTTATTACTTGTTATATATTTTCTGCATTACTGTTGACACTTAATTGAAATGGAAAGAAAAGTAAGTGATTTTTGCTTGTTAATTAATATTAACAAAAGTTTTCTTAAATTAGCTGGTATTGCAGGGAAAGAAGATACATGTGATTTACATAGAACAGAGTGTTGAGATGATAGAGATGAATGACTGTGGATAATTTCAACCGGGAGAAACAGCATAAGGCAAATACTTTTGCCAAAAATCATAGGTTATTGGTTTCTTGAATAAAAGTGCATAACTCAAATATCAAAGTAAGTGTATTTCTTGTAACTTCAATTTTTAATTCTTCACCATCTTCTGATACAAATCTCTATTCATCAAAGTTGCTTTTTTTTCCCTCGGTTTTATTAGTATTACTCTCAACCCATAATTTTAAAATTAGTAAGGTTTTATTCAAAAAATTATTTATTACACTTTTATAATTTTAAAATAATGAAAATTATAAGGATTGATATGAAGGTTTTTTTGTTATAATTTTTTGTTGGCGGGTATTTTGCTCAATTGCATTATCTTTTTTTTTTTTTTTTGTTTCCAGTCGAATAGAAATTGAGAGTATATATCTAATTTTTTTTTTAAATATCTAAATTTTTTATTTTATTTAAATATTTATAATTGATCCAATAAGATTTATTAAGTACTTGATAAAAAAAAAAGTCGTGTAATTTCATTTCGATACCAAATAATTGTTTTCCACCAAACTTGATTTGCTTTTCATTTTGAAAGGAATTGGTATTGATTAATTCTTTTGGTACTTAAAAACTTAATAAGTTTCATGTAGGTATATAATATATGGTAAATATTCAACATCTGAATATTGTTTTTGACATATTAAACATTTTGAATTTGAATTCACACACAATTTCAAATATCATACTCTCATAAGTATATATTTTTAAATGTTTAAAATTTGATATAACTTTTTATTAAACGTTTTCTTAACACAAGAAAATTAAATATATTATTAATTCACCGATTGTATTGAAGATATCATGTTATTTTATTTTTGAAGTGCAGCACCTTATTTTTCATAATTTTATACTTATATATTTAAGTGATCGTGAAATTTATTATTATTATTTTTAAAAAAAATTGGCTATCTGTATATAATCACGTGACTAAATTTTATTATGTCACTCTCGTAATTATTTGCTTTCTTATCATCTGTCACATTAGGTATCGAACTTCATCAAATAACATAATTAATAATTTTTAATCTAATTATTAAATTTAAAAATTTTATAAGTAATAAGTTTAAATTCACAAAATAAAAAATTTAATCAACAAATCATCAACTTTCTTTGTTTTAACATATGATATATCATTTAAAATAGAAACAAGTGTTTACTATTAAATTGTATTTTTACGATTATAAAAAAGTTACTAAAAAAACCAGTTTAGAAATTTTAATAAAAATATAGTTTTTTTATACTTTTTCTCATTTTGTTTTATTATGTGTTTTAATTTGTATTATATTTTAATTTTAGAAACAATTTTTTTTAAAAATAATCAAACTGTTTTTAATAATTAGTTTTTTCCTTTTAGTTTCTTGTTTTGTTACCATTACAATATTTTCTTTTTCTCTATCTTTTAGTTTTATGAACTTTCATTTATATATTATTAATATAGCCTTTATTAAATTTTATACTTTATTTTTTACTTGAACATATTCTATATTTCATTAATATAAAATAATTATTCTTTCATTTTTATTTTTTTTATAAAGGTACTAATCTTATGCAATAGTGATAATTTCTTGCTCACATATTTACATGGTACATAAGATTGCCATCACTTTATAGTTTATATGGCAAAAATCACCACCTCATAGTTAGTCATAAAGGTTCCATAATATTATTGTATAAAATACGGCTTTTTATAAGCATGTCATCTTTAACCATATTTTTTCCATCAAATTATATAATATTTCTAATTTTTTTATGTAAATGTTTATTTTTATAATATTTCTAGGAAATTGTGACAATTATGTTAACTAAGGTAAAACATTTATTAACTTTCCTCCGTTGAATCTGATTTAGATGGAAGAAATTGGAGCTAAGTTGTCGAAATCAATTTTCGATAGATTGATGAACTGCGCTATAGCAGAATTACGTTACGTATGCTGCTTTTCGGACATTGTTGAAGACATGGAAAAGGAAAAGAAAGCTTGGGAAGAAAGTGTGAAAGAGGAAATAAGAAAGGGAAACAATATTCGAACAAATGTCACTTCTTGGCTAAAAGAAACAGAGGGACTCATTAAAGACACTCAGATTAAAAAGACGTGTTTTTTTGGATGGTGTCCAAATTGCAAATGGAGATATAGTAAGGGAAAGCAACTGGCAAAGAAGAAGAAGGAAACTGAAAGACTCTTGAAAAGTGGGAATGTTGGAATTTCCCCTCATCTTCCAGGTGTTGAGTATCATTCTTCTCAATATTACGTTTATTTTGACAGCAGAAAGCCGGAAATCAAAGAACTTTTGGATGCACTGAAAGATGACAACAACTTCACAGTTGGATTGCAAGGGATGGGGGGCGCAGGTAAAACAACTTTGGCAATAAAAGTGGCTAAGGAACTTAGGCAGTTGCAACAATTTCATCATCATGTCATATATACCACAGTGTCATATACTCCTGATATAAGAAGGATTCAAGATGACATTGCTGCACCCTTAGGATTGGATATCAAGGATAAAAGTGAATCAGAGAGACGCGGGCTCCTTTGGAGTCGATTAACCGGTGATGACAAAATTCTTTTGATATTGGATGATGTGTGGAATCCTATCAATTTTGATGAAATTGGGATTCCAAGGGAAGACAATCACAAGGGTTGTAGAATCTTTTTAATCACACGTGAAATGCGCGTTTGCCAATCAATGGGATGCGAAAAGACAATTCAATTGGGGGTGTTATCTGAGGAAGATGCATGGACCTTGTTCAAAAAGCATGCTAATTTAAGTGATAGTTCCTCTAAACGTTTGTTGGATAAGGGGCGTGATATTACCAAAGAATGCAAAGGGTTACCAGTTGCAATAGCACCCATTGCTAGCAGTTTAAGAGATCAAGAAAGTGTGGAAGTGTGGAATTCAACTTTAAAATCCTTGCAGAAAGGTGTTGGTGGAGATTCGGTTGATACTTGTTTAAGGCGTAGTTATGATAATTTGAAGGATGATGAGGCCAAGAAACTATTCCGCTTATGTTCTATGTTCCCAGAAGATGAAGAACTTTCAGATGAAATTTTAACAAGATTTTGCATTGGAGTGCGCCTTTTTGGGGAAGTGGATAACAAATACGATGAAGCTCGAGACCAAGTAGTTACTGCCAAAATTAAACTTGTAAATTCTTGTTTATTGGTAAAAGCTGGGAAACAGAGTGTGAAAATGCATGACTTGGTTCGTGATGTGGCCTTGCGGATAGCTAATGAAGAAATTCAAGCAGTAAATGTTTCCAACAAAAATCAGAAGTTATTGCTTGAGAAGAGGAAGAATATCAAATATTTGTTATGCGAAGGGAAGAGTATGGATGTACTTTCTTGTAAGTTTGATAGCTCTAAACTTGAGATTCTGAATGTCTACATGGATGAAGATAGAGATGAAGATGATTGTGTGGAAGTTCCAAATTCATTCTTTGAAAATATGACAGAACTTCGAGTTTTGCATTTGTCATTCAAGACATGGAGACATGTTTCTCTGTCATTACCGCAGTCATTCCAATCATTGACAAATATTCGATCTCTACTCCTTGAAAGCTTACTCCTAGAAGACTTCTCTGTTCTGAAAAACTTACAAAATCTTGAGACTTTGGATTTGGTTGGGTTTTATATGGATGAATTACCACGTGAAATTGCAAAACTGGAGAAACTTAGAGTCTTGAGGTTAAGACGTGGTGTTGTTAAAAATTTGAATTCAATTAAAGTGATTGAACGGTGCTCATCACTTGAAGAATTGTACATTGTTGTTAGCTATCGTAGAGTGATTGATACTGCGGCAATGCATGAGAAAATAACCTTTCCTGCATTCCAAAGGTACATTATGAAAGACAATCGTATAGTGATGGATGAATCGTTGTCAAAATGTGTGGCCTGGACGAAGATTGATGCTATTTTCTCAGAAGTGACATTCAAGCATTTGGTGCAAACATCCGAACTTCTTCATCTACGAGAAATCGAGGGGGAATGGAGAAATCTCATACCTGATATTGTTACCATGGATAGAGGTATGAATGACCTAATCGAGCTTTATTTATCAGAGAGTCCACAATTGCGGTGTCTCATTGACACTACACGTATTGATTCTCATAGACGAAGTTTCTTCTCCAAGTTGATTGAGCTACGACTTAGAGCCATGGACAATTTCGAAGAACTATGCAATGGTCCCTTTCCCTTTGACTTTCTAAACAATTTGCAGGGGCTAGTAATCTCGGATTGTATAAATTTGAGAAGCATATTGTTCAAGAGCAAGCTAAACCTCTGTTATCTTAAGACCATTGATTTGTACAAATGCCCAAAATTGGTATCCCTATTTCAATTGTCAACTTGTCAAAGCCTCTTGCTTTTGGAGGAACTGTCCATACATGATTGTGAGCAACTAAAAAACATAATAGTAAGAGTAAATGAAGAATTGAAGAACGAGATTGTTGGTGGTGAGAATGATAACAAGAGTTGTGACTCATTGTTTCCAAATCTGAAAAGTCTCGATATTAGCAAGTGTCCCCAATTGGAATATATAATTCCAACTCTTTCTACTCAAGTTGTTCCATTGCTAGAAACTATCAGAACAGATGATTGTGGTGAGCTGAAATACATATTTCATCAGTACCAACACGAACATGCAAGTCATCAAGAGGCAAAGGATATCATACTTGGCTCACTGAAAGAGGTGCAGTTCTCTGGCTTGCCAAATTTCATTGATATTTTTCCAAAAATAGAATCAAATCCCAACAAATGCAATATTTCTCCTTGGATCCATATGTGTTATCCTCATAAATGTAGACACAGAGTCAGGAGTACCAAAAGTACTGCAATTCCATTGGTTTCCAATGAACCATTGCAAGATAACTCAATCTCATCGGTAACCCTCTTAACTTTCTGTGTTATCTTTTAAGTATTTTCTCTTTTGGAGAGATCGCTTGTATCTTATGTTTATAGCCTATATGCATATTAAACATCCCACCTTAAAAATTATCTTTAATAGAATAGCATGTTATCAGTTACTAAGAAGTAATTAGAATATAGAATATAGTTGTATTGTATATTTTCTACCATTAGTAAATATTAGAACTAGAAGTTGACAACCAAATTCGAAGAGCTCAACAGTTTTGGAGCATTAAATTATGGATTTTTATCAATTTAAGCCTATCTTTATCATTTGTATAAGATAAAAGTTTTACATAACATTCCCATTTCCTTGAGTTCCATGCAAAGAGATACTGTTAGATATGATTTAAGAACTTCTTTTTGGTATTGCATTGTAGGTGTCAAACTTTGACTATCTTCATCTTTGGCAACGTGCTCAATGTCTTTCGAAGCAGCCACAGATCCTGCGCAATATTAAAAAGATTAAACTAGAAAATTTTTCAAAGATCAAATCTGTATTTATCTTATCCATTGCTCCAATGATGTTAGAAACTTTGTCAATTCAGGACTGCGACGAATTACAGCACATAATAATAGACATTGGTAACAGTAATTTGAGTTATGTGTTTCCAAAATTGAAATACATCTGTGTGAAAAGTTGTAGGCAATTGGAATATATATTCGGAAGTTGCTTGGATGATCATCAGAGTCATAATAAGATAAATGTTGATCTTCCTGTCTTGGAAAGTCTCTGTTTACATGATCTGCCATGTTTAATGGGAATTTGCTCGAAAAACTATTCCACAACATTGTCACCTTTGAAGAAGTTTGAACTCAACGGATGTTCTCAGATTAGCATTAAGTCTATTGGCGATTTCATCCATTCTTTGAGTAACACATCTATTAAGGTACCCTTTCTTCCATTCATCGTTGAATTGATCATTGGTCTTAATCCAATTATTATAACATCATTTAATTTATCTAACATCACCTAACAAGAAACGAGTTTGTTGTTGTAACATTATGATTATTTTATACATAACTAGCTATAAACTTACACTTTTTGACTTATTGTTGAAAAGTTAGGAAACTTACGACCTTATAAGTAGTTGATTAAATTAGAACGGCTCGGCAAAATTTAATAAAATATATTCAACGACTAGAAAATATATTTAGTATTATAAATATAATATTAAACTTAAATGAGGAGATAAAATTCATTTAAAAATTATAATTATAAATATAATTTATTGAAAAGGATAATAGTTAAAATGAGATAAAATTATCGGCCTAATTGTTATTTCAACGGGCTTTTCAATCGTTAATTTTTAAAATTTATATATATATTTTTTGTGGTTATCAAACAGTTTTACTAAATTTTAAAAAATAAAGTTATAAGTTCCTAAATAAGTTAAAACTGCGTGTTATTCATCATAACTAAAATTCAAAATGAGAGGTTATTTTAAAAATGTGGTTAGCAAGAAACTATTAGTGATATCCTTATTTTACTAGTCCTAATTCTAAATGTTATTTTGAAAATATTAATGGAATTTTGTTTTTTTTTATCTATGTGACTTTATTTATTCATTTATTTATTTATTGCAGGATACCAAGCATCTGCTCTGTTTGAGAGATCTGTGGGTACATGGCTCCAAAATTGAAAACATTTTTTGCTTCAATGAAATAATTGGCCAAGAAATAATTTTAGGGTTGCAAAACATTCGGTTGGAAGATCAGCCTCATATGACCTATCTTTTTGTAGGTCCTAGGAATTCTTTTATCCTCCAAAACCTTAAGGAGCTAATTATTGTGCAATGTGAGAAATTAGAAGTAATCTTCACTGCTTCTGTTTCAAGATGCTTACCACAGTTGCGGATTCTAATTATAAGAGAATGTAAAGAATTAAAGCAGATCATTGTAGAGAACGCAGAAAATCAAGAAATGTCTTTCCCTAAACTAGAAGTGATAGTGGTCGAAAAATGCAACAAATTAACATATCTCTTTCCTTTCTCCACTTGTAAAGTGATTCTTCAGCTAAGACTTCTGATAATAAAAGAAGCGTCTGAGTTAAAGGAAGTATTCAGATGTGAAGCTGATCCAAACGTTGAGTTTCTAAGGCTAAGACTTTCAGTTTTTGTAAAACTACCAATCTTCAGCCTCAGCCAGGGGATTGAATTGGAGAATGCAGATCTTTGGGTGCAGAGTTGTCCAAAACTCTCTTTGACTTCAACGATAGGGGCCGATCAGTTGGAGCTTACAGTTGGATCATATGCCTATGCAGGTATCCATTATATACACTGTTTTTAAAACAGCATTATTTGCTGGTTATACATAACTACGTAAGTTTATCCATTTAAACTTGAAAATGATGATTTAACATCGCAAGTGTACGTATTTGTTTTTGATTCCTATGACTTACTCCCTAAAGGAGTTGTTAACATTTAATATTTTGTTACAGAAAATCTGAGTGAACATTCCATGCAAATATTAGAACACACTGTTCTAGATCTTAAAGATTCAATAACCCAATATACTAGAAATGAAAATCAAATAACAGAAATCACTGACGACATTGAAGTTGAGCGTGACGTCCAAGCAGCATCACAAAGTAACTTGGCTTCTTCACAGCTCAACGGGAATCAATCCATTTCAGAGATAGAGCATGGAGCACTGGCAACAATATCACTAATTCAAAGGCATGAAGCACATTCAGATGTAAGTATACTATTTTAAGGTATTCATAGTATTGGAGAAGACTAATAGCTCAAGACTAATGCTTCTGCACTTATTTAGGTGTTGTTGAATGAACAATCATCCGGACTTGATGAACCAAAACCAGGCCATTGGACTAACTGATAACACCTTTAAAATTTCTCAAGGAAATAATGTAACCACCTAAATATTCATATAAAGCTCTAAAATTTCACATGAAATAAATAGTACTTCAAATACCTCTTACGAATATACTACAACTTATTCACATATTTTTGGACTACAGTGACTTAAAGAAATAAATGACGAAAATAATCAAGAGGATTCTATATCAACGGAAACTATTATAACAACTTTATCCATGGATTCAGAAAAAGGGAACACATCCCCCAGATAATTGCTTTCTCCTCTACAATAGGCATTCCTCTGTTATCCTTTTTATCTCTACCAGCATAAGAATATAAATATGTTCCAAATCTTAAGATATAATTTATTTCATGCGGAGTATTGAGAGAAATTTTCAAGTAGGAATAACATCAGCCAATGCCGTGATGATAGCATCGCCTACTCATTCAGTATCAATTGGTTGTTCATCAGTAGACCCCTTAGTTAATTCTGAGCATAAAACATGCCCACATGTAAATTTATTGTATGAAACAAAGCTTTCAAATATGTTCCTTAACTTCAAAGTAATGTTTCCATGTTTATGATTCATTAATTAACGTCGGATTAAATTTTAAAGAATCGTGGTTTGAACCGATATATTTTGGTGGAACAAGATGAAATGGAGGTACTAAGCAGTTGAAGTTATTGCTAAATGCTATGCCACTGTTGCGGGTAGCGGCCTAACTCTAGTTCTTTTGTTTTCTTATTCTTTTCTTTTCTTCTGTAGTGAATTTGGGCTTATCAGAATTGAAACATGTACTGATGAATACAATGAGAGAGAAATCCTACCTATATTAAAGGCTTAGAAGATGATGATTTCATTTGTTTATTTTAATCTGTGTAGGAAGATGATGGTGGCCAAATAACTACACCTTTTTCAGTTATCACTAGAGAGAATCCTACCACAAAAAATAAAGAAACTACTGACACTCATGCTGCAGGTGAGTACTCTTGCATCGCATCTATTTGGTTAAAATATAGAAATAATTGAAGTTCCTAAAGTAAAAGTTTACACATTTAAGTGTTTTTGCACACAAGAGCCTAAGGACAAATTATTTTATTTACTATTGGAAACTCAAATGTTATGCCAAAGGGGATTACAAAACTAAAAAAAGTTTCAAATTTGTAAAATAGACGAATATCTTTACCTTAACTTGAAAATGATGTTTTACGAGATTGGAATTAGACATTGTGTTATTTTTTCTTATGAGTTGTGATCTAAACCACTTGTTAATCTGTAATATTTTATCATTAGAGTCTGAAATTGATTGGTTTAGCAAGTGCATGTTACGAGACATGATTCATTAATTTAAAGACTCTGGCACTGAATATACCAACAATGAAAATGTCACTGTAGAAAACTATCCCATTGGGCATGAAGTTCAAGCAACATCAGAGCATGAGTTAACTCCACCACAAGTTAATGGAAATCAATTTATTCAAGCAACTCAAACTGAATATATTCAAGAAGTAAATGACATTAGATCTAACATGTTCATCTCTGAGGAGACAAAAGCCAAACCTGCACAAAAGACAGAGAAGGATATTGTGGAAGAAGTTACTGGTTTAGACATACCCTTACCAACCATTTCACCAGCAGATGCAGCAAATGCCAAGATAAGTCCTTTGGATAGTCTTCCACATAAAACCCATTTAGATGTAAGTGTACCATATAGTGTCTGTTGATTTAAAGTTGAGTTTAAATGACTTTAATAAAATTGAGTTTACACTGTTGAATATGATACAGATGCATGTTTAAATTAGTCTGAACCAAAAATTCTTATTAGAATGTGTGCTTTTTATTGGAAAGTTAAGAATTAATTTTCTAGTGATAAAACAAACACTGCCATAGTCTTCTTAGCACAAGAGGAAACTAATGGCTCAAGACTACTGCTTTTGTATTCATTAATCTTTTCTTATGAAGAAAATTAAGGGTATGTTTGGAGGAGAAGGAAGAG